GGTAATATATGCAGTTAATTAAATAATACAAAACAAGGTTCTAATTCACAAATATATAAGCACTTGTTGCTTTCACATAATCAAAAAACAGACTAAATATAACCACACTTTTTAGAGAATTTTCTTCTACATCTTTAGATATTTCTTCTCATAAACATAAGATTCCAGCTTGACAAATAGAATCTTAACAAATTTTACCAACTGACTGAATTTCTAAATAAGTGATGTATGTTACATTAATTTAATTAATGAAACTAGTTTTATGAAAAAAAAAACAAGACTGCAAGTGAGACAAAATTATTTTCTCTGAAGTTTGGTTCGAGTTTCTTGATGTACAAAGTATCTTTAACTTTAGAATCTAAAATTCCATCCCATTCTCATTCAAGATGTCTTTAACTGTTTGAAGAATTACTTGGAAACTGTTCAAGATGGTTTTCTTCACCAAATGATTTAGATTTATTGTTAACTTCTAATATAGATATGATTGAGAGGGTGGAAATTGGGGAACATCTGGGTACGAATTGATCACTGATCTATTAGGCCCAATGTTTTGTTGCATATGGAGATCAGAAATAATGATATTTTGGTTATAAATTTCAAAAACCAAATTTTAAAGGAATACAACAAAAATTATCTGTTGTGAATTGGGAAGTGGAGTTATTTGAAGATATTGATGAAATGTGGAAAATTTTTAAATGTTCAAAATAAACATATTCCTTATAGAAAGAAAAGGGTGGCTATAAGTAAAAATCCAGGTTGGCTCTCAAAGGGTATAAGGAATAAAATTAAAGAAAAGCATCACACACACAAATTTAAGAAGTTTAAATTGACTGGTATGAAGGGAGATTTAGAAGATTAAGAAAGTTGATTAAACAGGAAATTAGAAAATCAAAAAGGATGTATGAAAAAAGGTTGGCTGAAAATGTAAAAATTAACACTAAGGATTTCTTTAAATACATTAAGGGTACACAAAATGTTAGAATGGGGGCAGGACCTTTGAGAGATGATAAAGTAAGGTTCATATCCAATGATTATGAGATGACTGTTATTAAATTGTACTTTTTCTTCAGTTTTTTCTATGAAGAGTTAAGCAATATTCCTCATCTTGAACAGCTGACAGATGGGAAAAAGATTGAACAGGATGATTACATTAATTCTGAGCTTGTTAAGAAAAACTGGGAAGTTTAAAAAATAGTAAGGATTGGATATGTAAGACACTTGCTACTATTTTTTGTAAGTCCTTGAATAGTGGGCAGGTGTAAGAGGATTGGAAGTTGGCTAATGTTACTTCTCTTTTCAAGGGAGGTGGTAAAAATTGTCCTATTAATAATGGGCCTATCAGTCTTACATCATTTGTGAGAAAAGTTTTGGAAAGTCTGATAATAGATGCTCTCCAAAGTGATTTAACAAAGTTTAGAATTTTATTTGATAGTCAACATGGTTTCACTAAGGGAAAATTTTCCCTTACAAATCTTTTGACATTCATTGAAAAGGTTACTGTTTATATAGATGAGGGTAAGGGTGTAGATTTGTTGTATCTGGATTTTCAGAAAGCATTTGACAAGATGCCACATAAAAGGCTTGTAAAAAAAAAACTTATCTCTATAGATGTGAGGGATAGGTTAGCTAACTGGATAGGAGAAAGCAGAGGGTTTGTTATAAATGGACTTCAATCAAACTGAATTAATGACACAGATGAAAGAATGATCAATAAATTACTTAAATTTGTAGATGATATTAAGGTCTTGGGTGTTGCTAGCTGTGAAGAGGATGTTGCTGCTTTACAAAAG